AACCTTTTTAAAATTATTTTTTAATCCAATAAACTTTTTCTCTTCTAACACGCCGGGTTAGGGATGACTAAGGAGAACAGACGATAAAAAAATTGGGTATGGGTATAAGAACAAGTAACGGCAGCTTGCGCATGGCCTGACGTGTCCCTATCGCCGCTTTCGGAGTATCTCGAAAAATAGAAATCTACTCGATATCTGGATCGCGGACAAAATCGATATCTAATAGAAATAAGCATCTCGAAAAATAGATATCTAATAGATATCGTCTCGATATCCCTAATAGCAAGGAAAGCCGATTCTTAATTAGAGCCTCGGCACTCAATCGTATCTGAAAATTGATTGGTTCCCAGGACCCCCGGCCGTCGCGTCGCCAAGGGCGCAAAAGAATGCGTGCATGTTTACTGGCAAATCGATCGGCCGTGTCGTATGCGTTGGCGCGACGGCTTGGGCACGCCTCTGCACGCGCACTGTTGCTGCTCTGACCGCGTTTACTACTTGACGCGTTTTATAACCCTTTCTGTTCCTTTTCTGGTTCTTTTTCTTTTAAATGTCGATGGAAATATCAAAGAGGACATTAAGGAGACGTGTTGATGCTGCTGTAAAGAAGCAATTTCAGCAAATTGCGGAGAATATACGAGAAATGTATCCGTCCGACTCAGTATCAACATCCCTGGGTTTTTTGTCGTCGTACAGCTCATCCAATGTAACAGATTCTTCCTCTGCTGACGAGGAAACGGGTTTTCCCAAAACGCCAGTGAACACGGAGCCCGACGAAGCTACAGCTGTAGAGTCCATAGCGACCCTGTCAACTGATTCCCCTGTTGAAGAGCCAAGCGTAAGAGATGCTCTTCAGTCGTGGGCGGTACAGTCACACATACCTCTCGTACATCTGACTAGTCTTCTGAAGATTATCAGAAGGCTGTCGCCGGGTCTGCCCTCGGACGCGCGAACACTGCTGGGTGTGCCAGGCAATTCCGTAACGCTGACGGCAATGGGCAGTGGTGAGTACGTCCATTTGGGACTTGTAAAGCAGTTAACTGAACAGTTACGGTTCTCTTCCATGCATTTTAAGGGCGATTAAGTAGTTGTATATTTAGCTATTGATGGGTTACCTATATATAGGAAAATCAAAAAGTTTTGGTCAATCTTAGGTAGGATAATGAAGCCATTTATCAGTGAAATATTTGTTGTGGGGATTTATTGCGGCTTTGGTAAGCCCTCAGATGTGCAGTCGTTTTGCAAATCGTTGACTGGCGAGCTATTGTCCCTGAATAGGTCAGGTCTGCGTGTCGATGCTCTCGACCGAACACTGCGTTTTCGTTTGGGCGCTGTAATTTGTGATGCGCCTGCTCGGGCTTTTATAAAGCAAATTAAAAACGTTAATGCTTATTACGGCTGTGAGAGATGCTGTGTTAGAGGTGAATACATAGATAAGGTAGTATATGACAGCGTATCTGAGCGTGCCAGGGCGGATGAGGATTTCCTAGACACCGCCGATGACTGTCATCGTATAGGCGTTTCGCCATTGCTTGCATGCAACGTTGGCATGATAAGTTCGTTTCCTCTAGATCCTCTTCATTTAGTTTACCTGGGCGTTATGCGAAGGCTGCTTAACTTGTGGCTCAGAAGTCCTAGGGAAAAAGTCTTCAGATTGTCCAAAGCAGAAGTTAGCACAATTAATGAGAGGTTAAATCGCTAAATCGATTCATGCCGCGGGAATTCTCACAGCGCGCCAGGTCTTTAAACGATTGGGATACATGGAAGGGTACGGAACTTCGTCAGTTCCTGCTATACACTGGAATAGTATTCCTTAGAGGTGTTCTTCGTAAAAAGTACTGGAAACATTTTCTACTGCTGTTCACAGCAATACGTTGTCTAGTTCGCCCTAATTCTTGCAGACACTGGATGTCTTATAGGTACAACACCAACGGAGGGATCAGTAACAATTGACGGTCGTTTAATTTGCATTCAGAACATAGTACGTTATCCGGCTGGAGATGTAGGATTTGTATATGTTGAATATGAAAATGTGGAGGATTACTTTGATTATCCTGTTAACTCATCAAACATTAAATTTTTTAAAGCCAGGTTGGGACCGTACTAAACACATGCCCATTGCCGCCATCCTTACGGAAGTATGCCTGCTTCCCCTTGGAGGATCACTTTGTTCTGATTGAAATCAATGATCGTTGGGACTCTGATGACTGGACATTTTCGGATGTTCGATGACTGAGTTGGACGGAACCATTTCTTTTTATTCACGCAAGTTGCTCCTGTTCTCACTGTACTTCCCACCGTAACTCGGTCACTACCCACGAAACCTACAACCCAACAGTCCCTCAGCTATTGTTTCGTGGGCAGTGAAGGGAGGCAGTGATTAGCTACATATTCTTATCCTACCCACACTCTACTTTTCCTGTTGGGTTGTAGAGTATCATGTCCTCAGAGGAATAAAGCCCAAAAAAGAAGAGACCAAGGCGGTCAGCTAGGAACCCGTACGATGATGACATGTGGGACAATGAATTAAACCTATCGACGACATCAGTATGAATGTTAATTACATAATTTTCCGTTGTCTACAGCACTCCCAATCAGAAAACTCCGAATCCAGCTCAACTTTGCCATTGGTGGCGTCCCCAAAATCCAAAGGTAATTACCTTTCATTCTATTATGCCTTTCGTAGGGCATAAGAGGAGTACAACCGAACGCAAAAGGAGACACCTGTCCTCCCGCGAAATGGGGGGGGGGAAATTTAGAGGCGTTCTACGGTGGTTGATAGATAATTGTAAAGAGAATACTAAACGGCTAGAGCGGTTTGAGCTGAAGTTGGATGCTCAAGCAGAAGGACGTGCGAGTGCAGCCATTTCGTTATCCACTTCAACATCTGTGGCTGCACCTTTTAGACGAATGGCATGCATGAGCGATTTAGAAAGATTTACAAGTAAACTGACAGACGCAGATTTTCGGCAGCAGATGGTAAGTTTCTTATGACCTACTGATTTCTCGGATAGGTTAGCCACTTAGCTAGTTTTGGAGGGCGGACATTGAGCGCATTCGTCGACCGAGTTTTCAGCGCCCTATTTGAAGATGAAATAACACATCATTTGATGTTTTACGGTCGACAACACGGGAAGAGCGCATTCTTCGGCTCCCCAGCCTACTCAGTCGTCCTAGGTATAAAAACATAATTTTCCCATTTACCAACCGGCTACATAGATGTGTTCAATAGGTGGAATGCCGATCACCCTTCAGATCGGCATGATTTAGAGAAATGCTTTCGTTTAATGTTCAGAAGGGCCTATGATCGGCTACAAAAGAGGACGAATAAGCTATCTACGTCACGCCCACTGGACGGTTAGTTACCCTTTCATAATCAAACCTCATGCATCTATTATTTACTTTGACCCAAATTAACTTGAGTGCACTTTTTAGACACTGCGAATTCACCAACATTGCTGATTACTTTCTGTATCCTGCAGAGTCATCATCCATACAGGTGTACACAGCCGATATCTCGGAAACAATTGACTGTGCACACTTTCCCATGACCTTCTCTAAGTACGTTTGCTTTCCTCTAGATAACTCATACCTATTAATGAAGATATTAGGCTATGAACAGCCATCCTTTGCCACTATCAATCCCGTCCTATCCATGGACAATGCTCGTTGACCCTACAACCACACAGTATCCAGTGAGTGGTTAACGAGCATCAAGGGATGTAGTGGTCGTAGTTATAGGTAAAGCTACTAACTACTACTTTTTCCCTGTGTGGTTGTAGACATCCATGGCTACGACCATCAGGTCGGGCGGTCACCCTTTTTACCATGTAATGTAGGTCTTGTTTCTAGCTTTCCTTTGGAACCAATGCATTTAGTTTACCTAGGTATAGTTAGAAAGATTTTGCAGTTATGGCTAAGGAGTCCCGCAGGCAACGAATATCGACTGGCGCCTTCAAATATCCGCAGCATTAATGAGCGACTGTTGTCTTATAACAGCAGTTTGCCAGCGGAATTTAAGCAGAAGTCGCGAAAAGTAAGCGAATTCGATAGCTGGAAGGCAACAGAATTTAGAATGTTCTTACTCTATACTGCCTGTTTAGCGCTTAAGGATATTATTGTAGGTAAATATTATAGGAATTTCATGCAACTAGTTGTAGCTATTAGATTATTAAGTTCTAGCGCTGACTGCGTGCCGCATGCGGCATACACGAAGCGTCTATTAAAACATTTTAATTCGTCTTTTCAGCATGCATACGGTCCAGAGCACATGGTGTATAACATTCACAGTGTTATACACCTGCCAAACGAAGTAGAACGGCATGGACCTCTAGAGTCTTTTTCAGCTTTTCCATTTGAAAGTTTCTTAGGACGCCTTAAAAGGCTAATACGTAAGCCAAGTAGTCCTCTTCAGCAAATTTCACGTAGACTTAGTGAGGGATTGCTGCAAGAGGATAATAGTGGCTCGTCCAGCGACAAGTCAAGCTATAGAATAGCCGCAAATAGTGCGGACGCCTTTATACGAACAGAAAGTAGGTTAATGTACGTCAGATACGTGCATTCTAGAAGTATTTCAGGTTTTAACTTGTCAGTATCCTTATTTTCTGATATTTCTGATTTTTTTACTTATTCTTTACCGTCATCGGTAGCAGAAGTATATAAAGCCAGGCTGTCCGATGACGTAGTTAAGCTAACTATTTCTAGCAATTTTGATAAGTTTATAGGTTTTCCTGAGGAAGACTACTATGTTTTAGTTAAAATCATTTAATTGTTTAAGTTTAGTAGACTCTATAGGTCCGTATAGCAATGTGAATGTTATACACCATGTGCTTTGTATGTATGTATGCATGAACGTATGCATGTATGTACGTACGTATGTATGTATGTTAGGTTGCTGTACAACTGTCCAATTCGAATACCTTTCGCGACTTCCGCATAACTTCTGCTGGCAAAACAGTCGTTCACGGATGCTTGGAGGCGCTCGTCGGTATTCGTTGGGTGCGGGAGTCCCAAGCCAGAACTGTAGACTAGGTTAATGAACTTTTTAGCGCACACGAACACGAATAATTAAGTCAGCGAGTAAGGAGCAATTCTATAGTTTCAGAAGCACTTGCGACATTCATGTGATCTTCGCCAGTTGATGACGGAAGCCACAGGATAGCTGGTTTTATTGCCCAGTAGGGTGCGAGGAGAGAGCCAGGTGCCCGACTTCTACTTGCCCAGAGCCTCAACTTCTTTCTTACAGCCACCCTAGGGTTGCGTGCTGCACCCCGAGTGCGTTGACATGACAAACTTAAACCGGCCTCTTTAAAAACATTGTTTAGTGCACTATCTCAGACGGGCCATTGTGCAGTATCCGCCGGAGGTATTCGTTTACGCTCAAGCGACTGGTCTTTCAGTGGTATTCACCGTTGCTCGTGAACCCTACAACCGGACATACCCTAGCTTCCGGTTCACGAGCAATGCACACCACCTAGTTTAGACGTCCTTACTATTGCTCTTTGTCGTGTCCGGTTGTAGACACTAACATGGCGGAAGTTTGACGTTACAATGGCAGAGGACGGCAAGTACGGCCTGCCATGGCGCGCTCGACTTAGTGCCGACAACCTACCGTGGGGGGTTATTTGCCTTCGCAGCGGGCGGCACCATACTCGCTAAGGGGTAACTGCTCGACGGACTGACTTACGCTCGGATAGTTCCCATGATCACGGTCGACCAAGCGCCACGTGAACACGCCGCTTATCGGACAATGTCACCGATAAGTGGTGCTCTGCCGGGCCTCTTCCATACTTATTTATAAGCAGATGCCATCGGGCGCCCAACTTTCTCTCGACAGGACTGCACCTAGTCAACACTAGCCATGAGTTTTCCGCGACAAGTTGACTATAGCCGCAGTGGTCGTCCGTTGCGCGTCGTACACAGCCCGTCAGAGTGGGAGGCGTGGGCTCCGGGTAACGCAGGAGACGTAAGTTGCATGTTATACACTGCTAACTCTTTGCTTCCCAGCACACTAGACTGGGCCAACTGGGGAGCAGCAGTACAATCTCCCCCTTGCCAACGCCACCTCCCAGCAGGTTGCTGGTGCATTACAACCCGCCGGAGGGACAATCTACTGGTATAGTTCATATAATTTGCCTATTTTAGCCTTGCTTAATGTGCCCACGAACGTCCAGCAGAATGAGGCATGCCCAGGCTGCTGCTGCCACACGCTCGGCCGCCAAGGAATCGTCAATGGTAAGTGCAGGCAATTATTTAACCCTATCTCAAGCCGCTATTACTGGTATATGCGCTCGCCTCGGGGCATCCAGCAGATGCGTCAGATGGACACGAGGCCGACCGTGTCGGTGTTGCCAACAAACCCCCTCCCGTCGCCCTTAGAACGCATGTCGGACTTTGATATATTTGAAGAAAATATCCTCAGGGACGACTATCGTCAGGAAACGGTAATATCTCTAATTTGATTTACTTTCACTTTCAGATGGCCTACCTACAAACGGTGGGCGGCAACACGGTCCGGGAGTTTGTCAAACGACAGTTGAGGTCGTTATTCGCCAATTCCCTCCTACCGGGATTTAACCTGAACGGGAGATATTCCAAACGCAACTTCCGCCAGACCAACACTTACATGATGCTACAAGGTAGGCACAAATTAACGCATACTAATTCACTTCTATTTAGATGTATACAATCGATGGAGCGCAGGTCGGCCGTTTACCCTGCTGGATTTTGAGAAGTCCATACGCAGTATACTGAAATCCGCGGTGACCGCCGCCTCTGTGCATCGTCGACGACAGGGCGATCCAGAATAACTGCACGGATCCCAATTATTCCCTTCTATATCTGTTTTGCTTTTCATATAAATAAATTGCTCAGTACGCCCGCGTGTT